GGGACACAGAATTGTTACTGAGGGACACAGAATTGTTACTCAGGGACACAGAATTGTTACTGAGGGACACAGAATTGTTACTCTGAGGGACACAGAATTGTTACTGAGGGACACAGAATTGTTACTCAGGGACACAGAATTGTTACTCAGGGGACACAGAATTGTTACTCAGGGACACAGAATTGTTACTCAGGGACACAGAATTGTTACTCAGGGACACACAGAATTGTTACTGAGGGACACAGAATTGTTACTCAGGGACACAGAATTGTTACTCAGGGGACACAGAATTGTTACTCAGGGACAGGGACACAGAATTGTTACTGAGGGACACAGAATTGTTACTGAGGGACACAGAATTGTTACTCAGGGACACAGAATTGTTACTCAGGGGACACAGAATTGTTACTGAGGGACACAGAATTGTTACTCAGGGGGACACAGAATTGTTACTCAGGGGACACAGAATTGTTACTGAGGGACAGGGACAGAATTGTTACACAGAGGGACACAGAATTGTTACTCAGGGGACACAGAATTGTACTCAGGGACACAGAATTGTTACTCAGGGACACAGAATTGTTACTCAGGGACACAGAATTGTTACTCAGGGACACAGAATTGTTACTCAGGGGACACAGAATTGTTACTCAGGGGACACAGAATTGTTACTCAGGGACACAGAATTGTTACTCAGGGACACAGACACAGAATTGTTACTCAGGGACACAGAATTGTTACTCAGGGACACAGAATTGTTACTCAGGGGACACAGAATTGTTACTCAGGGACACAGAATTGTTACTCAGGGACACAGAATTGTTACTGAGGGACACAGAATTGTACTGAGGGACAGAATTGTACACAGAATTGTTTACTGAGGGACACAGAATTGTTACTGAGGGAGACACAGAATTGTTTACTGAGGGACACAGAATTGTTACTCAGGGAGGGACACAGAATTGTTACTCAGGGACAGACACAGAATTGTTACTCAGGGACACAGAATTGTTACTCAGGGACACAGAATCGTTGAATTAAAGAGTATGTCAGACAACACAGCAGAGGAGTGGCAGAGGAGGCATGTTTTAGGAGCGAGCAGACGTGGCAGCAGAGGAAGGGGTCGAGGCAGCACTAGTCGCAGCCAGAGGCCAGTGCTCCCGGTGTCATCCAGCGGTCGTGTCTCCACCGACAACCCTGCCGTCATCGATTGGTTGGCTCGGTCGTCTTCCTCTTCCCAGGTCACCTCTGACACCTACAGCCAACGGTCGGTGGGTACGTCAGACACAACCGTTAGTTGGCATGGCCCCGGGAGCAAGCCCACTGAAATCACGTGTCCTCTACCTGCCCCTGTCCTTTGGTGTTCCCTCACCAAGCGAAGTATCGCATGCTGTGGGCTCAGCCCCACTGTACAGTGAGGAAGAGCTAACAGAGGGCGGTCAGGAACAGGGGGGGGGGAGACATCCGCCTCTTCAGCAGCCAGGCGAAGAAGTACTGGCGAGGAGAGTGGCTCGGTAGCCGGTCTAGAGACAGGTCTGTCTCCTGACCCACACGCAGCCGAGGGGGCTAGTAGTGAGGCGGAGACCCTAATTGATGATGATGAGGCTGATCGCACTTGGCAGCCTCGTCGTCATCAGGCTATTGCTTCCGCATCATCAGGAGAAGAGGGTGCCAGCTTGGCAGCGAGCAAAACAGTCGGTGGGTTGCCCAGGAGGCAGCAGGGGTCGCAGCAGTGTCAGTGGAGGCAAACGGCCACGGAGTAGAGCACCAGCTCCACTGCAGCCTACCACCACGGCCAGTAGTGGTGCCGGTGTGCACGGAGGAAGTAGCAGTCAGCCAGTGAGGAGTAGCGGGGGGCAAAGTTTCCTACTCGGCGGTGTGGCAATTTTTTCGTCAAGCCGCCCGAGGAAGTAAACGTAGCCGTATGTCGACTATGTGGCCAGAAAGTCAAGCGTGGCCAGGGGGCCCATGTTGGGACTACAGCGTTGCGTCAGCATATGCAGCGTCGCCATTTGGTGGCCTGGGAAAAACCGTGATAAAGATACGGCGGTTCTGCCTGCCCCAGCCCCGCTCCATCACCCGCTCCGTTACTTGCTCCGTCACCCGACGTCAATCGCCCTCTATCAGCCAGTCAAGGCTCCAACACCTCTGCTGAGGGGAGTTGTCGCTCGTTGGCATCTTCCGCTCGTTCAGATGCTCCTTCTCCTGCTACTCCTCTTCACGGATTCCGTCAGCAGTCTTTCTTGGAATCCGTTTCCAAGAGACAACAGTTTGCGAGCACGCACCCGACGGTGCAGAAGCTGAACGTCCTCCTGTCCAAGTTGCTGGTGCTGCAGTCCCTCCCTTTCCAAGTGGTGGACTCAGCACCTTTCCGAGAAATGATGGCTTGTGCCGCGCCGCGGTGGAGAGTGCCAAGCCGGCATTTCTTCGCCAAAAAGGCAGTGCCAGCCCTGCATTCACATGTAGAAGAGATGGTGGGCCAGTCTTTGAGCATGTCGGTCTCTGCCAAAGTGCACGGCAGCGCCGACGTGTGGAGCTGTAACTACGGTCAGGGACAGTACATGTCATTTACGGCCCACTGGGTGAACGTGGTGCCGGCACAGCCGCACCAGCAACTTGGACAGGTCACGCCGCTTTTGCCTCCACGTTTGCACGTCCTTGGTCCAGCAAAAGATGTCCGCCTCTACCACCTCTTCTTCCGCCGTGTCCTCAGCCGCCACCCCCGTGCCAAGTCCCATTACCCGACCGGCATATCACATGTGCAGGGCGCAACGGTGTCACGCTGTGCTGCACCTGGTATGCCTTGGCGAACGTAGTCACACAGGGGAGGAACTTCTGAGTGTAATGAACAGAGAAATCGACAGATGGCTGTCTCCGCGCAAACTGAAAATCGGAACCATGTTGACCGACAACGGAAAGAACATGGTGTGTCTGCTCTGCGTCAAGAAGGTTGTGCCATGCGCCATGCATGGCTCACGTGTTCAATCTGGTTGTCAAGCGGTTCCTAAAATCCACCATCCCACTGCAAGACATCCTTAAAATGTCACGTAAACTTTGCATGCATTTCAGCCATTCCTACACCGCAAAGCACACCCTCCTTGAGCTGCAGCGGCAGAACGGAATTCCACAGCATCGCCTGATCTGCGACGTTGCAACAAGGTGGAATTCAACCCTACACATGTTAGACCGCCTTTACGAACAGCGAAAGGCCATCACCGATTTCCTGATGTTACAAGCGGGATAAAGGTACTCCCCTGTGTAACTTAGATGTCAGCCATTGGCAGCTCATGCGTGACACCTGCCGCTTGCTCAGGCCCTTTGAGGAGGCCACGCTATTCGTGAGTCGGCAGGACTATGGGATGAACGACGTCATTCCTCTGTTGCACGTCCTGGAACAAATGCTGTTAACAATGGCTGGTCAGGGTGCGGTAGACGTGGCGCACAGATCTCAACGCCACATGACCCCTGTGGGGGCAGGACAGGAAGAAGAGGAGGAGGTAGAGGAGGACATTGGTGCTCAGGAATTATTGAGTGAAATGGGTGGTTTTTCCACTCAGCGGACAGGAGTGGAGGAGCAGGAGCATCTGGTAGAGGAGGAGGAGGAGGAGACAGAGGACCCAGACGCACCGTGGCAGTATGCTGTGGAGATGGAGGCAGGGAGTCCCTCGCATTCCTTGGCACAAATGGCCCATAGCATGCTCGGTTGCTTGCGTAGCGACAGCCGAATAATAACCATCAGACAGAGGGATGACTTTTGGCTGTCCACCTTGTTGGACCCTCGCTACCGTTCAAAAATGGTGGCCTTTTTCACACCTGCTGAGAGGGAGGCCAAAATAACGTACTATAAAAACCACCTATGTAGTCAGTTGGTCTCTGCCTTTCTGCGCCAACGTCCATCCTCAGACACTGTGGGCCCTGTGCGCTCGCGTTCCGCTGCCATGGCAGCAGGGGAGGGGTGGGGTGGTAGGAGCAGTGGCAGCTCCACCAGCAGCGGCTGCCTCAGTCTGCAGTCGATGATGAGTAGCTTTCTTCACCAGCGCAGTGAGGAAACTACTAACCAGCCGCAGCAGCAGCAGCATCAGGTGGACCTGGAGCAGGACCTCAAACAACAGGCTTGGGCCTACTTGGACAGCACCCTGCCAACCGAGGTAGACAATCCCCTTGACTACTGGGCAACGAAACTTGACCTTTGGCCCCAACTAGCTGAATTTGCCCTTGAAAGGCTGTCATGCCCGGCCAGTAGCGTGGCATCGGAGCGCGTGTTTTTGCGGCAGGAGGTATTGTAACTCCGCGGAGGACACGACTGTCCACCCAAAGTGTGGAGAGACTCACGTTTGTGAAAATGAATCAGGCGTGGATTAGTCTGGATTTCAAACCACCAGTTCCTGACACAACTGACTAAATCCGCCATGAATCATGCCCCAAACATGTGCCACTTTATTATTTTTAACATAGGCCTCTGTATGGCCTTCATTTTTAAGGTGCTTACGCTTCGCCACTCTGCTGCCAATCTGCCATGCCCGCCCCTGTACCGCCTCCTCTTGCTGCTGCCAGGTCCAGAGTGTCTCATGGGTCCCTGTACGGCCTCCCATTGCTGCTGTCTCCATCGCCCACACTCTGCCATGTGCCACTTTCAGGTCTCCTCACACTGCTGGTGGGTTCCATTTTGTCATAGGGTGCTGTCATACGGGCCTCCCATTGCTGTGCTGGCAGTAATCTGCCATGGGCCCCTCCTCCTCATGCTGCTGCCAGGCCCGTAATCTGTCATGGGCCCCTGTACCGCCTCCTCATGCTGCTGCCAGGTCCAGAGTGTGTCATGGGTCCCTGTACGGCCTCCCATTGCTGCTGTCTCCATCGCCACACTCTGCCATGTGCCACTTTCAGGTCTCCTCACACTGCTGGTGGGTTCCATTTTGTCATAGGGTGCTGGCAGATTACGGGCCTCCCATTGCTGCTGCCAGGCCCCGTAATCTGCCATGGGCCCCTGTACCGCCGCCTCCTCATGCTGCTGCCAGGTCCAGAGTGTCTCATGGGTCCCTGTACGGCCTCCCATTGCTGCTGTCTCCATCGCCACACTCTGCCATGTGCCACTTTCAGGTCTCCTCACACTGCTGGTGGTTCCATTTTTTGTCATAGGGTGCTGGCAGATTACGGGCCTCCCATTGCTGCTGCCAGGCCCGTAATCTGCCATGGGCCCCCGTACCGCCTCCTCTCATGCTGCTGCCAGGTCCAGAGTGTCTCATGCTGGTGGAGTGTCTCATGGGTCCCTGTACGGCCTCCCATTGCTGCTGTCTCCATCGCCACACTCTGCCATGTGCCACTTTCAGGTCTCCTCACACTGCTGGTGGGTTCCATTTTGTCATAGGGTGCTGGCAGATTACGGGCCTCCCATTGCTGCTGCCAGGCCCGTAATCTGCCATGGGCCCCCGTACCGCCTCCTCATGCTGCTGCCAGGTCCAGAGTGTCTCATGGGTCCCTGTACGGCCTCCCATTGCTGCTGTCTCCATCGCCACACTCTGCCATGTGCCACTTTCAGGTCTCCTCACACTGCTGGTGGGTTCCATTTTTGTCATAGGGTGCTGGCAGATTACGGGCCTCCCATTGCTGCTGCCAGGCCCGTAATCTGCCATGGGCCCCCCTGTACCGCCTCCTCATGCTGCTGCCAGGCCCCAGTAATCTGTCATGGGCCCCTGTACCGCCTCCTCATGCTGCTGCCAGGTCCAGAGTGTCTCATGGGTCCCTGTACGGCCTCCCCATTGCTGCTGTCTCCATCGCCACACTCTGCCATGTGCCACTTTCAGGTCTCCTCACACTGCTGGTGGGTTCCATTTTGTCATAGGGTGCTGGCAGATTACGGGCCTCCCATTGCTGCTGCCAGGCCCGTAATCTGCCATGGGCCCCTGTACCGCCTCCTCATGCTGCTGCCAGGTCCAGAGTGTCTCATGGGTCCCTGTACGGCCTCCCATTGCTGCTGTCTCCATCGCCACACTCTGCCATGTGCCACTTTCAGGTCTCCTCACACTGCTGGTGGGTTCCATTTTGTCATAGGGTGCTGGCAGATTACGGGCCTCCCATTGCTGCTGCCAGGCCCGTAATCTGCCATGGGCCCCCGTACTCTCTGCTGCTGCCCATGGGCCCCCGTAATCTGTCATGGGCCCCTGCCTCCCCTCATGCTGCTGCCAGGTCCAGAGTGTCTCATGGGTCCCTGTACGGCCTCCCATTGCTGCTGTCTCCATCGCCACACACTCTGCCATCATGTGCCACTTTCAGGTCTCCTCACACTGCTGGTGGGTTCCATTTTTTGTCATAGGGTGCTGGCAGATTACGGGCCTCCCATTGCTGCTGCCAGGCCCGTAATCTGCCATGGGCCCCTGTACCCGCCTCCTCATGCTGCTGCCAGGTCCCAGAGTGTGTCATGGGTCCCTGTACGGCCTCCCATTGCTGCTGTCTCCATCGCCACACTCTGCCATGTGCCACTTTCAGGTCTCCTCACACTGCTGGTGGGTTCCATTTTGTCATAGGGTGCTGGCAGATTACGGGCCTCCCATTGCTGCTGCCAGGCCCGTAATCTGCCATGGGCCCCTGTACCGCCTCCTCATGCTGCTGCCAGGTCCAGAGTGTCTCATGGGTCCCTGTACGGCCTCCCATTGCTGCTGTCTCCATCGCCACACTCTCTGCCATGTGCCACTTTCAGGTCTCCTCACACTGCTGGTGGGTTCCATTTTGTCATAGGGTGCTGGCAGATTACGGGCCCTCCCATTGCTGCTGCCAGGCCCGTAATCTGCCATGGGCCCCTGTACCGCCTCCTCATGCTGCTGCCAGGTCCAGAGTGTCTCATGGGTCCCTGTACGGCCTCCCATTGCTGCTGTCTCCATCGCCACACTCTGCCATGTGCCACTTTCAGGTCTCCTCACACTGCTGGTGGTGTTCATTTTTTGTCATAGGGTGCTGGCAGATTACGGGCCTCCCATTGCTGGCTGCCAGGCCCGTAATCTGCCATGGGCCCCTGTACCGCCTCCTCATGCTGCTGCCAGGTCCAGAGTGTCTCATGGGTCCCTGTACGGCCTCCCATTGCTGCTGTCTCCATCGCCCACACTCTGCCATGTGCCACTTTCAGGTCTCCTCACACTGCTGGTGTGTTCCATTTTTTTGTCATAGGGTGCTGGCAGATTACGGGCCTCCCATCCCATGCTGCTGCCAGGCCCGTAATCTGCCATGGGCCCCTGTACGCGCCTCCTCATGCTGCTGCCAGGTCCAGAGTGTGTCATGGGTCCCTGTACGGCCTCCCATTGCTGCTGTCTCCATCGCCACACTCTGCCATGTGCCACACTTCAGGTCTCCTCACACTGCTGGTGTGTTCCATTTTGTCATAGGGTGCTGGCAGATTACGGGCCTCCCATTGCTGCTGCCAGGCCCGTAATCTGCCATGGGCCCCTGTACCGACTCCTCATGCTGCTGCCAGGCCCGTAATCTGTCATGGGCCCCTGACCGCCTCCTCATGCTGCTGCCAGGTCCAGAGTGTCTCATGGGTCCCTGTACGGCCTCCCATTGCTGCTGTCTCCATCGCCACACTCTGCCATGTGCCACTTTCAGGTCTCCTCACACTGCTGGTGGGTTCCATTTTTTTGTCATAGGGTGCTGGCAGATTACGGGCCTCCCATTGCTGCTGCCAGGCCCGTAATCTGCCATGGGCCCCTGTACCGCCTCCTCATGCTGCTGCCAGGTCCAGAGTGTGTCATGGGTCCCTGTACGGCCTCCCATTGCTGCTGTCTCCATCGCCACACTCTGCCATGTGCCACTTTCAGGTCTCCTCACACTGCTGGTGGGTTCCATTTTTTGTCATAGGGTGCTGGCAGATTACGGGCCTCCCATTGCTGCTGCTGCCAGGCCCGTAATCTGCCATGGGCCCCCGTACCCTCCTCATGTGCTGCCAGGGCCGTAATCTGTCATGGGCCCCTACCGCCTCATCATGCTGCTGCCAGGTCCAGAGTGTCTCATGGGTCCCTGTACGGCCTCCCATTGCTGCTGTCTCCATCGCCACACTCTGCCATGTGCCACTTTCAGGTCTCCTCACACTGCTGGTGGGTTCCATTTTGTCATAGGGTGCTGGCAGATTACGGGCCTCCCATTGCTGCTGCCAGGCCCGTAATCTGCCATGGGCCCCCTGTACCGCCTCCTCCTCATGCTGCTGCCAGGTCCAGAGTGTGTCATGGGTCCCTGTACGGCCTCCCATTGCTGCTGTCTCCATCGCCACACTCTGCCATGTGCCACTTTCAGGTCTCCTCACACTGCTGGTGGGTTCCATTTTTTGTCATAGGGTGCTGGCAGATTACGGGCCTCCCATTGCTGCTGCCAGGCCCGTAATCTGCCATGGGCCCCTGTACCGCCTCCTCATGCTGCTGCCAGGTCCAGAGTGTCTCATGGGTCCCTGTACGGCCTCCCATTGCTGCTGTCTCCATCGCCACACTCTGCCATGTGCCACTTTCAGGTCTCCTCACACTGCTGGTGGGTTCCATTTTGTCATAGGGTGCTGGCAGATTACGGCCTCCCATTGCTGCTGCCAGGCCCGTAATCTGCCATGGGCCCCTGTACCGCCTCCTCATGCTGCTGCCAGGTCCAGAGTGTGTCATGGGTCCCTGTACGGCCTCCCATTGCTGCTGTCTCCATCGCCACACTCTGCCATGTGCCACTTTCAGGTCTCCTCACACTGCTGGTGGGTTCCATTTTTTGTCATAGGGTGCAGGCAGATTACGGGCCTCCCATTGCTGCTGCCAGGCCCGTAATCTGCCATGGGCCCCCGTACCGCCTCCTCATGCTGCTGCCAGGTCCAGAGTGTGTCATGGGTCCCTGTACGGCCTCCCATTGCTGCTGTCTCCATCGCCACACTCTGCCATGTGCCACTTTCAGGTCTCCTCACACTGCTGGTGGGTTCCATTTTGTCATAGGGTGCTGGCAGATTACGGGCTCCCATTGCTGCTGCTGCCAGGCCCGTAATCTGCCATGGGCCCCCTGTACCGACTCCTCATGCTGCTGCCAGGCCCGTAATCTGTCATGGGCCCCTGTACCGCCTCCTCATGCTGCTGCCAGGTCCAGAGTGTGTCATGGGTCCTGTACGGCCTCCCATTGCTGCTGTCTCCATCGCCACACTCTGCCATGTGCCACTTTCAGGTCTCCTCACACTGCTGGTGGGTTCCATTTTTGTCATAGGGTGCTGGCAGATTACGGGCCTCCCATTGCTGCTGCCAGGCCCGTAATCTGCCATGGGCCCCCGTACCGCCTCCTCATGCTGCTGCCAGGTCCAGAGTGTCTCATGGGTCCCTGTACGGCCTCCCATTGCTGCTGTCTCCATCGCCACACTCTGCCATGTGCCACTTTCAGGTCTCCTCACCCAAAATGAGTGAAGCGTGCGGTGATTCTTAGATCGACGGCACTCATCTGCATGTCATACTGACTGACAGTATTATTTCTCTTCCCAGCAGACTCCAAGGGCATTTAAATTAAAGGTACAGTGTTCTGCACTAATATAAAGGCTCTCTGAAGCCTAGAAAACACCCTTTTTATAAGTTAAATTCGCAGCGAATATATTCGCCTCGAATCGAATTTATTCCTCAAATTCGCCGAATCAGCCGAATCGAATTTTTGAATACTTCGCTCATCTCTAATTGTATCATTATATACATCCTATTATACATTGTATCGTTATATACATCCTATTATACATTGTATCGTTATATACAATCTATTATACATTGTATCATTATGTACATCCTATTATACATTGTATCATTACATGCATCCTATCGTGACATTGTATCATTATATACATCCTATCATACATTGTATCATTCTATACATTCTATTATACATTGTATCATTATGTACATCCTATTATACATTGTATCATTCTATACATCCTATTATACATTGTATCATTATGTACATCCTATTATACATTGTATCATTCTATACATCCTATTATACATTGTATCATTACATGCATCCTATTGTACATTGTATCATTACATACATCCTATTGTACTGTACATTGTATCATTATTATACATCCTACTATTATACATTCTATCATTATATACATCCTATTATACATTGTATCATTATATACATCCTATTATACATTGTATCATTATATACATCCTATTATACATTGTATCTCTCTAACTCCTGGCATAGAGGGAAAAAAATAGTTTGTAAAAAAAAAAAAAGAGATAAATATTAAAAAATAAATAATAAAAAAAGAAAAAATACCTAGATCAAAGTTTGATCTAGTTCAGTGCCAGGGTAAGTGCTTGGGTCAAGGTCAGTGTCAAAGGTCAAGGTCAAAAGGTTGGGATTTAAAAAAAATTGGTGTCAGTGTGTTTTAGGTAAAAAAAAAAAAGACAAAAAACAAAATGCGCACTATTGTTTCTGGGCTGTACTATGGGTACAAACAACAAATAACATACACATATATGATATCGCTGGGATCGTCAAGAGCTGGAGAATTTATTTTGGGTTGTTCTTTGTTGGTAGGTTATGATAGTGACAAGAAAACACACAGCTAAATAAA